CAAAAATTAAAACAGTTCTGGAAAAAAAGTAAGCTCAAATGGTGCTTAGGAAAAAAAAAACAGGTCAGAGGGATCAAGTTCAAAAGTAGGTAAATAAAATTGTGCCCTGATGAATTGAGACTGTGTAAAACTAAGAAAACATGGTTATTTGAAGTAGATGAAAGAAAGTGAAATCACTTCAACTAATCCTGTTAATCATCTACCTCTAAAATATTCAAGTTGTATAAGGGCAGGGAATGAATTCTGCAGTCTTTTGCTTCTGCTCTTTTACACACAAAAACCAGTAGTTGAAGTTTTTCCTGGCATGGAGACATTATCTATGTTCATATTTAACCATAGCTTACTCCATTTACTGAAATTTCTGATCCATGAAGCAACCAGCAAACACACTTGGTCTGAGTTCTCACAGCTGATAGACTAACATGATGTTCACTGTTCTATATTAACTAAATAGTCCTTGACTTGAGACTGATTGCTTGGTGACCATTTGAAGTCATAATGGACCCACCAAAAGCTATTTATGACCTGATAGCCGCAAGTGCACACACGTGCATGCGCGCGCACAGGGTCCCAGGATTGCATTTGGGGCACTTGATAATTCAGTCACCTTCATGGCTGTTTGCAATGTCCCATGATCACACAACTGAATATTTTGGGTTTTTTGCTGATTTTTGGCATGTACTTCCAGTTTCCAGTATAAAACACCCATTGGGTAAAACTGATTCACTTAACGTCCATAAAATTTGCTTAATGACTGCAGCATTCATTTAGCAGCAAACAATATCATATAATAGGGTCCGGGTACATGGTGACCCACATAATGACCACAGAAACTTCGAATCATAATTCCAGGCTCAATTACAATTGTTATGTTGAGGACTATCTGTAAGATCATCCAATCAATAGGCACCTTTGCTCTTTACAGCAATGGATAGGAAAAGATAGGATCCTCCAGGACAGCCTTCATATCCTAGACATCTTCTAGATCAGTGTTTTTAAACTTGGCAACTTTTAAGATGGACGTCAATTCCCAGAATGTGATTTAAATAATGAAAATTGGCATTTGACTTGGCCTCATCCTTTTTATATTAAAAAAAATATGTCTCTTTGTATCTCCAGCTTGCTGCCAAAGTACAACCTACAACAAATACGAAAATTATGTTCCCTAATGTAGAGCCACATACGATCTGAGTTCTGGTATTGCGCAATCAGTTTCAGTCCCGTTTCACAGAAGAAATCCCCAAGGGTTCTAAAGGCTTTTCACTTCTTCTAAATGGACTGGACCTCTGAACCAGTCCAAAAGCTTCAAGTTGTAAATAAAATGATATACATTCCTCTCTCCTGCAATGGACATAATTACCAACCTAAAAACCAAAATATAACCCATCCTCTCCTGTTGTTTCAGTTCAAATGTGATTCTTCCCACTACAGGACACAACTACTCACCCATATGGGTTATTGATGAATGTGAAAAACGATGAAACAGTGGACTGGTGCATTTATTTTTTAAAAAACCAAAATCAAAGATTTAGCAGAAAAATAAGTACTTCAGGAAAGGAAGAAAAATATTTTTTTTTAAAAATGTTAAGTTTCAAATTGAAGACATTCTATATATAAATCAAGAACTATAATCCTTATGTCACTGAGCAAGACCTGCAACAGGAGCAGAACAGATCTTGGGAAAATGCAATAAAAATTTCATTATTTTAAAGTGGGCACTTGTGCTTGCCTTGGGGTAAGGCAGGAGTAGGCAATCTTGGCTCTTTTATGACTCGTGGACTTCAACTCCCAGAAATCCTGAGCCAGCTGGCTCAGGAATTCTGGGAGTTGAAGTCCACAAGTCATAAAAGAGCCAAGGTTGCCTACCCCTGGGGTAAGGGAAGCTACCAAGTCACTACCCTCACTGTGCGTGTGGCAGGAGAATTGCAGGGAGAGCTTCAAGATCTCCAGGTTTCTGAGCTGTTGTTCAACTGTAAGAGAAACTAGCAATATTGTTATCATTTCTTCACCACTTCTTTACCTTTGCAGTGTTAAAGAAAAGGGAAAAGAGGCATGCAAGGAGCTGCTGGAGACATATCATTCCTGCTTGCGGGCACTGGGCATAGATCACCCGGATTTAAAAAACAGTCCCTAGGTGAGTGTCCCTATATTGCTTAGACTGCAGGGGTAAAAGGATTGGTGCAGGGGTAGTCAACCTTGGTTCTTTTATGACTCGTGGACTTCAACTCCCAGAATTCCTGAGCCAGCATGGCTGGCTCAGGAATTCTGGGAGTTGAAGTCCACGAGTCATAAAAGAGCCAAGGTTGACTACCCCTGGATTGGTGGCAGCGTTAAGTGGGAACATGGCAAATTGCAATAGAGATTGACTGGTTTATGGGGCACTCAGTCAGAAAAAGGGAGTGTGCAGCAATTATGTTACGTTGGAGGAAAGGATTTCACTTTTTTCATTTTATTTAAAGGACAAAAGGCATGTAGAAGTGTAGCAGTTACTACAACAAAACTTTATCCCTTGACTTCATTTTTTAAATGCAGGCTTCCATGATATCAGGGTGCTTAACAGGGAAAACAATTTATAGAATGGTGAGGAATATCAAGAATGTGGGATGAATGACAATCCCACCTTATCCCATTTCTGTTAGAAAGGAGTTTCTGAAGATAAACAGTATTGCCACTAGTGGGGAGGTCTGAACACAGGAACCTTGCTTGACTCCACACATACTTTCTACACAGGAAAATAAAAAGACAGGCAAAAGCTTCATCAAGTAGATTTTTGCAAGACAGTGTATATTAAAGACATATGTCTCCTGCAAGAGAAAACATTAGCAACCCTTAATCCAAACTCAGATACTGACACAGAAGCCCCCCAAAACTACAGGAGGAAATAGTTTTCCTAAATAATTTGGCTGTCAAATACAATTGCTGTATCTACATGTACTATGTGATGGCCCAATTTGGACAACACTGAAATCAATGGTTGAGTTCCCACCATATACTGATTACACTGATATACTGATTACAAGCCAGCAAACTCCATTTTATCCTGGTTTGTGGTATGAATCCAATTGTTTGCTAGCAGCTGTCCCCCTACCCCTTTGCCAGGAAAGTTATGGCTTAGCCCAAGGGAAGAAGCATTACATCCCACAGCAGTGGGAAGACACACCTAAACTTCTCTATTTATTTTCTCCTTTATTATTTTTACAGCCTCCAAATCACTGGGACACCCCAGCCAGCCATGTTTCCTTTCCCATAGGGACCCCGGAGTGCTCAACCAACAGAAAGCTCAGCACTGATGCAATATTCTCAGAAGGCACTGCAACAGGAGTTCCCAACTTCAATAAAGCCCCTGCATTTTATTCTGACTGGACATGTTAAATTACTGAGTCGTTGTTCTTTATTCAGTTGGAAGTCTTCTGATTTTCCATTAATGGCATAATGTTCCCAGATTTTGGGGACCCCCACCTTTGCCATATTTGCTTTGTGCAGCAGCACTTAAGGAAAAATAAACCTGCAGAAGAGCTTTACATCAAACAACCTACCGGACCCATCCCATGATCGGGCATCCTTCAGTACCACCACTTCCACCATCCCCGGGACACCCTGGATACTTTGCTTCCAAACAATTCAGATCTCAGATGATATTCCACCTTGGATCCTGGGAATCAGAAGCACCCCTCCTCCAAAAAATAATAATTAAAAATAAAGACAAGGAAAAAGAAAATCAGCCTCCTTGGATCATTTGCAGAAAGTCAACATATATCAGCTGAACAAAAACGGAAGAGATCCCAGAAATTCCTCCTTCCCGTTTTCTGTCTAGAATGAAGCTAGGTTGGGAATCATCTATACAACCCAGGGCACATATAGTAGGCTCGGCAGGCCTCACAAATTCCCTTCATCTCCTGGAGCTCTTCAACTCAGCCCCAACTCCATCTGAACAATTCCCTGGCACAACTGTGTATACACCTTTCTTTTGGATTCTAGTATTGCAAAGCATTCCTGCTAGATCAGCCAAATAGCCTCTCATCCAGCATCCCTGATTCCACAGGAGGCACTCAGGTATCCTGTGGCACGCCCACAGGCTGGACTCAAGGGAAGCCTTCCTCTCTTTCAGCCTTTTTCTACCCCTGATGTCTCCGTACAGCAATCGGGATTGCTGGATTTAACATCCAAAGTTATAGAGGACAAGCAAATTCCTTTGCAATGAAGGTCAAAACCAGGGGTAGTCAACCTTGGCTCTTTTATGACTCGTGGACTTCAATTCCCAGAATTCCTGAGCCAGCTTAGCTGATATATTCTGGGAGTTGAAGTCCACGAGTCATAAAAGAGCCAAGGTTGACTACCCCTGGTCAAAACTATCACTTTATTCCTGCTGAAATGAATCTCACAGCTTAATTTTGCACTATTCAAGTAGGTATTTCCTTAGTGCTCTCTGCTCCAAACCAAATTTGTAGGAGTCTTCCCTTTTGCTTTAACCCACCTATCCTGCCTACAACTCACTGAGCCCATATTTTCAAACATATGTAGAGTAAGAAGACACTTACAATGGTCTTTATATACTCCCAGATGCAAAAGAAAACATCTAGAACCAAGGCAGTCTACCTAAATATCTCACATAAAACATGCCCTGCTCCAAAAGTCACCAACTGCACAAAGGGAGACCAATATGCAGTGTAGGACATTTAGGACTACAGTGGTCAGGGGCCAGTTTCATTTTGTTCCATTTCAAGTGCAACAGCAGATGCCAGAGGAACTCTCAGTACGAACTACAACCTTTATTACAAGTGACAAAGAATTGCAATGTGGAGGCCAGCCAGCCTGCCTACCTGCTTGCCTCCAGGGGTAGTGTTTTATATAAAGCTTTAATGGGAAAAGTCATAAAGTCCTTGGCCACTTCTCTATGGCCGGGATATCAGCCAAGGTACCCCATTGTTCCTCTCCTCACCTTGCCATCATCATTAAAAGAACACGGTATTGAGTAGGGAATGTCACCCACTCTTGCCCTCCCCCCCCCCCGAAGGAAACCTCCTTTAGATCCCAAGCTATCCAGCCTCATGGAAATGGAGGCGTTTTCATGATAGGGAAAAAAGAAAAGAAATTGCTGTATAATTTTGCCAAGTGATGCTGAAAGTCCTTTCAAATCAAAGGGGAATATAAAAGCACCACATAGCTTGGTTTAACCCTTCTTTCCCCCCACTTATGCCCCCACGGTCAACCTCACACAAGCTTGCGAAGCTAGGACTCCCTGCCACAGCAGAGTTGTAATCCTAACACCAGGAGTGGCTGAAGAGCCACCCAAGCTAAGGGAGGGCAAGGGAGCTGGGCACTGCTCTTCTAGTCTCGCCGTAGATTTTTTAACCGCTCCTCCAAATCAGCATCTGCGTCGGCGAGGGCTGCTGAGGCTTCAGCTTTCTTTCCTCCTGCCACGCTCAGAGAACCACCAGTGGAAGGCAAATCTGCAAGGAAGAGAGTGAAATCTGCAACAACCCAATAACACCATTTTCCCATCCATTCCCAGTTCTCTCTGCCCAAGACTGTGGCATCAGGATTACTGTATATACGGAGTTCATGCATCATACTTATCATGGTTAGGTTAACTAGGGCAAAATGGGCAAAGTTTCACATATCACATTATGTCTTTAACCCTAGCATTAATCACACTTATGGATGACCTCTGGCAAGAGCAAGACGAAAATGGTGCATCTTTGCTTCCCCCTTATCTCTCAGCAGCCTTTGATATTGATTATTTATTTTGGTGCTAAGGAATGGAAACAGGGGCACGGTGTTGTGCTAATTTTCCTTCCAGAGACCAGTTCCAAAAAGAATTCATGAGTGGGGAAAAGTCTAGCTTAACACTCTCCCTACTCCTGTTTTAACAACTAAACAAAGTGCTGGATGAGATAATTCAGCAATATGGGATAAGGTGTCATCAGTATTCTAGTGATACCCAGCTTTATATCTCCATTCCTGGGCAACCAAGTGATCCTGGGGGAGGTCCTGTATCAGTGTCAAGAGGGTGTAGGGTTCTGAATGGGGAAGAACAGGCTTCAGCTCCTAGCAAGACTAGGATTTTAGGGCTTCCTGGATCCAATGTTTTTCCAGCTTTGGTTCTGGATGGGTGGCAGTACCTCAAACAGAAGTAGTAAGAAATCAGGACATCCTTTTAGATTCATATCTCCAATTCAAGGAGCAGGTGGCAGCCTTTGTAAAAATTTATTTAATGCACCAAGTGTGCCCTTTCCTGAACCAGGAGGTTCTCTCACAGTCATGCCTTGGCTCACCTCCCAAACAGACTAAAATAAAGCTTGAAAACCTTCAAGCAGAATTGCTTCTTGTTGTTCTGAACAGATCAAGGGGCAATGCATTTTACTTATGACTTTTTGCACACATTAGAACTAACCCAAAAGCTCATTTTCCTGCTCTACCTGGACAAGCTGATTAATCCAAGGAAGTAGGATGGAAAGTCCAGAACCTATAAGACCGGACTGGACTTTGCATGCATGGACCAAGGCAGAACCCCATAGCACCATCATTTGAATTGGAAGAAGTGAGGGAAGACTGTCAATTTTTAAAATAAATCTCTATATATATACTTTCGGTGTCTTCTTTCTACACAGATACCAACCTATTTTATTCTGGGTTTTTTGAGTAAAGCAATCAGGACCATATTTTCTAAAAATAATTTCACAATTAAGAAATGACATTCATTTCAAAGGGGACCAATGCATTCCTCAAGTGTTTCCATTTAACTTCAGTTAAAATTGCATTAATTAGGGTAAATTTCTGAAGTTGTACTATTATGGTGACTAGGGAGTTACAGTGCACAAAGTTTAAGAGCCCTAGGCTTACTGACATCATTACCACTCACAATGTATTTTTAATCTTTGTTGAAATACCTGTTTTTAAAGGTGTATTGGAACACCATTAACTGTTGAATGTTTTTCTGTTATTTTTGTTTGTCTGTATAGAGTGACCACATCCCATCTTGTTTTAGGTCTATTGGATTTTATGATAATATATTATGAGCCAGCCAGAGTCAATTGGATAGAAATAATGATTTTTATCCATCTGGGATTTACAAGAATTATATGAGTTTTGGTCTCTTTCTTTCTTTCTTTCTTATTTATTTATTCATTTATTCATTTATTCATTCATTTATTTATTTATTTATTTATTTATTTATTTATTTATTTATTTATTTATTTATTCAGTCATTCAATTTCTAGGGCTACTGAATCACAAAGGGGATCAAGTGTCTCTTCTCTTGCTGTACTTCTTTCTTAATTTTCATTTCATGCAAATACTTACTTGACAGCTCATCGGTCAGTGTCAGACCTAGCTCATCCAACACCTGGGAGACAACAGCATCACTGTGAATGGAAAGCAAGAACATGAAATGCACTTGTTTGCATGGCTAATCCATCACTTCCCTTAACTGAATCTCAATTCTTTCCTCAACTTCAGGTTGAATTAACAGGCTTGGCTTTACTGTGTATAGATCTGGATTTCAGGGACGGATTTGAAGGTCAAAAAGCTATCACTTGCCACCACTTAGATGCCAAACTTTCTCTTCAGCATGAAACCTTTATGAGCTTTCCTGTCTCTAATGCTAATTACCTTTCCTCCTCATCCTCTTCATCTCCCATTGCATCATCAATAGCATCATTCATCATCTCTTCCTTCATTTCCATGATCTCTGACTGCTTTTCAAACTCCATCATGATCTTCTGAATCTGAGGCAACTTGAGCTAAAAGAAGGCAAGGAGTAACACTGTTACAAAATCTCAGAAAAGGAAATAAACCATCACTTGCTTTTCACCTTTTGGAAAGGAAGGGAATATTTTATTTATTTAGCAAATTTATATCATTGCCAATCTCACAAAAAGTGACTGTAGGAGGCTTACAAGCAAAAAAGTTAAAACCACACCTGAAATTTAAAAAAAACAGACATAAATAACAAAGGTAAAACAAAACTATAAAAGACCTCCAAGAGAACAGGAGGACAATCATCATTTGGCCTCATTCACCATTGTACAGGCTCACCATAGAACCTCAGGGTTGATGAAAGAACCACCTTTTCAAAACTTCCTGGAAGATTAACAGAGATGAGGCTAATTTCACCTCATAGGAAGTGATGTTACAAAGAGCAAATGCTGAAGCAAAAAAGGCATGTGTCCTAGGTCCTGTCAGATGGAACTTGATAGCAGATGAGACCCATTTCTGCTGGACCTGATGGGATGGACAGATGAGATTGAGACAATCCCTTAAATAACCTGATCCTGTGCCATGTAGGCATTTAAAGGTCAAAAACGGCACCCTGAATTGCACCCAGAAGCAGATTACACTCTGTTCCATGACCCATCCTAGATATCGACATTAACAGTCCACACAGCTGCATTCTGCACCAAATAAAGCTTTCAGATGCTCTTCAAGGTCAGCTGCATGTAGACTGCATTACAGAAAACAGTCCTGGAGGTGATCAAGAATGAGCAACAATGAGTGGAGTAACATCACTAGAGTAGCAGATTACTGTTACTAAGAGGTTGAATGTTCATTTAAAAAAAATTAATTGACCAAGTGATAGTTGAGAATAATTCCGGACAGATTGCATCCAATCTGGAGAATCCTGCTGGAAAAACAATTCGACGGTAAGGTGAAAAAAGTATCTGTAAACTTGTTATGATACCTTAAGTGGCACATTTTCTGAATTAGTCAATTTAAAATGCTTTTGTGCTACATTTTCTGCCTAGTCTCCATTGTCTAGTTCTTCCCATTAAGCCAGACATGTCAAACTCGCGATGTCACGTGACGTCACGCGACGTATCGGGACTGTTTTGCCATTGCCAGCAATGGGGTGGGTGTGGCTTCTGCATGACGCATCTGGCCCGCAGACGGGCAGTTTGACACCCCTGCATTAAGCAGTTCCAATTTCATTCCCTTTCTGAAAAACAAACAAAACAGATTTTACAGGTAATCCTCATTTAGCAACCATAACTGGAATCAACAACTCAGTGGTTACGTGAAGTGATCACTAATAAAACCACCACTGTACTTATGACCTCATTTTCACATTCCTTTGTTTTATAGACCTGCAAAGATTGTAAATGAGAGGACTGCAAAATTATTTCTTCATCAGTCTGCAAATGGTCACTAAAATGAGGCGGTTGCTAAACAAGGACTACATGTAATATCTATTTAACAACCCACATATACTATTAAAAGAAATAGCAGTGCTCCAATATCTCAGGGATTGCCACAAAGAAGAGGGAGTCAAGCTATTCTCCAAAGCACCGGAAGGCAGGACAAGAACCAACAGATGGAAACTAATCAAGGAGAGAAGCAACCTAGAACTAAGGAGAAACTTCCTGACAGTTAGAACAGTTAACAAGTGGAACATCCTGCCTCCAGAAGCTATGAATGCTCCAACACTGGAAGTTTTTAAGAAGAGACTGGACAGCCATTTGTCCGAAATGATATAGGGTTTCCTGCCTGAGCAGGGGGTTGGACTAGAAGACCTCCAAGATCCCTTTCAACTCTGTTACTCTATTCTAACAACAAAATAGCTTTTAGAAAGCTGCCTTTTATTAAGTCAAATTATTTGGATTTCTAGTTCCAGATGCCTAATCTGTCGTTGGTTCTCTGGAATTTTAGGCAGATTGATTTAAAGTGGGAGCTTCTGAATGCAATCAGATGCTTGATCAGTGAGCATGGTATAGATTCAAAAGGAGCAGTTTAAAAGAGTTTCTGCAGCTTAACTAGTATGCAGCTTACCCACCTGTCTGTTCATGGTAGCCATGGCTTTGGTGACACCTTTCATTGCCTGAGCCATGGAGTTGTTCGATTTGAGTGTCTGTATCTTAAGGGACACTGCCTGGATGTTAGCCCGCATCAGGATGAATTTCTTGACATAGCGCCTTGTTCGCACCAGATCTTTAGCCATGATTTTCACAGCATCCTGAGATGGAAGAACCAGGTTAGAAAGCAGATACACAGATTTTCTTCTGGTGACTTTCAAAAACCATATTTGTCCTTTCTTTCCAAACTCACCATCTGTCCTTGCTTAGCCATTTTCTTGATGTCAGCAATGATCTTTTTCTCCTGGGTCTCCAGCTTCTGCCGCTCACGGTCTAATTCTCGCATGGCACGGTTCAGAGCCCGCTGATTTTGCCGTAGCATCTCCTCTGGGGTCTTCCGGCGCCCAAACAGTAGATCCATCCTGACAGAAAACGAGTCAGCCTACAAGTCTTGAGAAAACGGAAGATGCGGAAACATAGGAGCAAAGTATCTTCGTATTAAAAATTACAAGAATATTTGGCCAATACATCAAGAAACTCTAATTTATTAAAATATATAGTCATCGACCAAAGAAACCCCCAATCAGATTACTAAAATTACAATTAGAGTTTCATGATAAATACACTACATTTCAGAATGGGAACAACCTAGAACAGAGATTTCCAACCTTTCTCGGTTGGCAGAGGGAAAGGGAGAGGGAAGCATTTTACGCATACACGCGTGCGCACACACAAACAGGGCCGTGAGCACGTGCGATGCAAACAGGGCAGTGCTAGCACTCACGTGACACTAGCACTGCCCCATTTTCACCATGCAGCACCCTGTTTTCATCACACAGTGCCCCATTTGCATAGCCGCATCGGCACTAGTGTGAGTGGGAGCACATGCACACACGTGCGCACGCTGGCCAGCCTATTTCGCAGCCCGTTAGCCAACATTCACTGTTCTGGGAGACAAACAATTCTCTCTCTGTGTGTTAGTTCTATCATTTCGCAGCAAGCTTAAGCCAGGTTTTTGCTGCAGTTTTTATATAAACTTTTCTTATTGCCCTAACTATGTATCAAAAACTCAACAGAACTACAAAAAAAGCCTCTGTTCACTCTTCAAAACCTTGTGTTGTGTTGTATTACATTGTATGAATTATGTGAAATTGTATTTTATTATATTGCTCTACCTCAATGGCTCTCAATCTTTTCTTCACCACAGATCCCCTTTAAATACCTTTTGTGGCCATGGACCAGGCATGTCACTCATGATGTCACGTGACGTCGCACGACGTATCGCAACTTTTTCCCTATTGCCGGCTAACTCAACCAGCCTTATCCAGTTATCAAATATTTTGAAATGCACTCTTATTTAGAGAACCTACACTTCTGAAGGTAGATCCCTCTGTGGCAATGGGTCATTAACCCATATCAATGCCATCTCCAACACACAATCTGAATATGTGGTATACTTACTGATAGTTATGTCAAGAGAAATAAAAAAAATATGGCAGAGCAAAAACCTACTTATTTACAAGCAAAAAATAAAAATGCAACCCTTCTCTAAGAAACAAAACAACATTTGCTCTTTCAGACATCTTTTCTCAACCCAGACACCCTCCAGAGATATGAACATGTTAGATGGGAATTCTTGGTGGTAAAGTCCTCTCATCTATATTTAGACTGGGCAAGGACCAAACTACCTATAATCTATTATATCTCTATATAAGTAATTTTTTATTAGTCTTTACATAAGGGACACAGTTAATATTAAGATGAAGCTTTAGCACTAAAACTAAGCTTTATTATCACTGCTGGATCTCATATAACCAGATCTCTTGGTTCTACCCTTTGTCACACTTTTGTACTTTTCCCAAATGGCCCCTACATGTATTAGACTCAAGCTTAGAACAGAGCCATTCTAATGAAAGGATGGAACAATACAAATGGGCTTGTATTTTTAATGACTCTCATTGAGTTCTAAAAATCAGGAGTCACAATCTTGGAAATATTTAGAACCTGCCTGTCATAAATTAGATAGCATTAGATAGGGATTAAGGGGCTCAATGGCAGAGCTAAATAATGTAAATATATGCACCTATCAAAAATATATTTCCTTCTTATACAGAAATATATTTAATCTACAATTATCTACATAAAGGTTTTGGGTTAAGAGAGATATAACCCTCATGACGGGAAACCTCAGGTGTTCTAATATTACTGAAGTATCTCCCAGCATCAGTAGTCAATAGGAGAGCTAGAAAAGGGATTCACTTATTAATGAGAGAGTTGTTAAGCAACTTTCAGCTGGTTACATCTTTGTCATACAGACTATCCATCCGAATAAGAGGGATACAATGACAAGCAGTCTTGTCATAGTATTGATAGTTACTAAAGATTGTGACCTGCCAACCATACAGTCTGGAAATCCTCAAATCTTTCAATCATCTTCAGAAACTGTCTAACAAAAAATTGTTTCCCATTCAACCCTTTTTTATTTATAAGGACAGATTAAAGAAATTAAATTTGCACTATGTTAAATAACTTTAAATGAAATGATTTGAAAGGATGGTCTGCCTGATATTTAGAGTTTGGTTTAACTGATGGTACCATCATTTACACATCAATAGGATAAACATCAGCTAATCCACCGTAGATAAAGCAAAGAATTAAAAAGAGAATCAAGCCAAATAAAATAAAATCAATTTCTCTTTGGACCAAAACAAGTTTAAACATAAAGTCACAATGAAGCCCCCTTAGTTAAGAAGCTTTTGAGTACAAAAATTCAGCGATGTTACTTTACCTTAACAGACTGTGGATTTATTTTTCAAAGGCAGTAGGGTCTGAATGAAATATAAATTTAATAATTACAGCAAATTAGAGTATTGAAAAAAACATAATTCCTTACCCAAATGTTAGCATACACATTCAATACATTATTCCAATCAAATACAAATGGAAACCTTTACAGTACTCTTCCAGAACTTGCCACCACTCCAGATGTGCTCTCCCCCCTCCATCAGTGGAGATGATACAAGTGGTAGTCCGTCACAGCTGAAGGACAGACTAGATGAGCTTACTTTATAGCACGGCAAAAAAGGACAAACAATATAAAACGAAGAGGCTTGCTCTGTCCAAGGCAAAGTCGCCTAGATCAGGGGTAGGCAATCTTGGCTCTTTTATGACTCGTGGACTTCAACTCCCAGAATTCCTGAACCAGCCGGCTCAGGAATTCTGGGAGTTGAAGTCCACGAGTCATAAAAGAGCCAAGGTTGCCTACCCCTGGCCTAGATGATGTACCCGACGCAGGTCTGTGCCTGTGGGGCGCTGCGGGTGGGCGCTGGGAATACTAGCAAGGGGGAAAGCGCAAACACAATTCCAAATAGACATAATTTTCTTAGTCTAACAACAAACAAAGGAGAATACGATGGAAAAGAGGGGGAAAGGCAGAAAAGGACTCCCCCCCCCAACAATAAAAGCTTCCGAGACCTCGCTCCGACACCCCCCCCCAACAATTTACCGAGCAGCCGCCTAACTCCGTCGTTTCACCTCGATATTTCCTCTACGCTCTTCTTCCGCCTCAGCCCACTGACGTCACGGGAGTGGCATTTTAGCGTCATAGTCACGCGGGTGGAGAAACCCGAAGGCCTCCCTGATTTGCTCAGATAATAGGAGGCGGGCCTCAACCGGAAATTAGATACAGAGACAGAAGGAGGGGAAAGAAACGGTAGGAGATGAAAGTCTTGTCTGCACGTCTTGGTACTTCCAGGAAATTTTAGGTGACAACTGTGTTAGAGATCTAACAAAAGTATAGAGAGACTCTTCCCTTTCCCCCCCCCAATGGTTTCCATTGATGGACATTCCAAACTGTCCACCAGAGGCGAAAGTGAGCCGTGTTAAAAGAAAAAAGAAAAGAAAAGAAAACACAATAGGGTGGAGAGGAAATGCTACCTTTAATCATCATCATTTTTAGTCAGTAGAGTCTCTTCCCCGATGGATGATGAGCTATCAAGGACAGCATTCATGCTAGAAAAGTTGCATATTAGCCCGTTTTTGGTGTAGTGGTTAACACATAAGTCTAGAAACAGGGAGACCATGAGTTCTAGACTAGTTCTGATTAATCACAAACTCAGCTGGATGGCCTTGGGCCAGTCTCTCTAATCCTGCCAAGAAATCTGCAAGGACTTCTCCAGGCTGCTGCGAAGAGTCAAGACTGACTTGAAGGCATTTCCACAAAAATAATAAATCGGTACTACTATCAATGAACTGCTTTCTGAAAGAGAAGGTAGAATTCTTGGTATTTGTTCCATCGCTATTTACGATGAGCATATATATGTTCAGTAAGAGCTTGTGTAAACTGACTAGATCATAGTATGTGGTACAATCCATCTGGATCCAGACTTTTGAAGGGAATGGGATTTGGAAATGCAAGCATAGCAGTGAATGTGGATATAGGAATTTAAATGAAGCTGCCACTCAGCTTTAATAGCAATGAAAATAAAATCCCAAATAAGCAAGCTTAATTTGATTTTTTTAAAAAACTGAATCATCTATATCCTTTTCTGACAGGTTAATATGCAATTGTGTTGATATCTTAATATGACTAATTAGTATGACTTAATATGACTGGGCCATAAAATAGTAATTTCAGTATTATAACCTTTCTTTAAAAAAAAAATTTTTTCACAATCGCCACCTTGAGAAATAGATTGATTAAATGATTGGCTTAAAATTGAGTTTCTGGAATTTCTATGGTTGAAGAAAAATCAAAACTCATAATTATTCTGTTTTATATGTGCCCTTGCCTATATAGGCAGTGCCATATGTGTTGAGGACTTGAATTTTTTTAAAAATAAAATAAAATACAAATGACACCAAAAATATTTAGAAAGGTTTGAAGGTGCAGTTGTAGCAATTCATTCTTATTCTTATTTATGCTATTAGTCTTCAACTTTTGTAGTTTGGAGATTTAGCTTTTCCAAATTCAGCAGATATGGACACTTTTTCAAACTACAGTGCCAGTGCTTAGCCCAGACTAGATCACTATTGTTAGCAAATGAACCTTCCACTTTCTTTGTATGGAAATTTTGCTGTGCAGCCTGCTGCAAATCTCTTTTTACCTGATCACCTACAAAGTTGTTCCTATCTGTCACTTTTGCATACTAATTGACATGCGTTGATTTTTCTGACACATATACTTTTGCCATAATACATTTGGCTGAGTCTGCAGGGTGCTTGGCCAGGATTCTTTTGATACTGTTTTGTTCCACAGATCACAGTGAGGTAAAATATGTCATTTTAATCCAGTCAGTCAAATTTCATTCCATGAGAGTTAACTATATAAAACTATGTTAGATAGTAGCACATAGCTAACCTACTTTGAGTTCAAAAAAAGGTAAGCAGGCTTAGATGTAGTTAGAACTTGAAAATGAACTCTGAAATTTTTAAAAAAGTGATAAACACCTTTCATGGTGCTGTCAATAATAGTCCATGACATTTCATCTTTTGGGCCGGAATTTATGTTAATTATGCAAAAAGACAAGAAAATTGTTTTTCAGTCATTCCTTCACTTGGCCAGAGAACAAAGTGATCAGTGAAACATTTTATCATTTACAATGCAGGTCTGTTCATAGCCAAAAAGTGCATCACACTATTCTTTATTTTGGGGCAAGAAGTAATTTAATCACCCCCACGTCTTCAAGATGTATTTTTTAAGCTGTGTTTTAAGATTATATGTCCTAAAAACACTGCATTAAAAATATACTGTGTGACTGTGCAATATGGTTTTGGATAGATAATATTTCTAGTTCCATCCTTGTCAGTGTCATTTTTTTTTAAAAAAAGATGCTAGACTACAACTCCTCCAGTCAGCTAGCTATCTTTCAGCTATATTGGCAGATGTGCTGGAGATGGTAAGAAATTAAATCTCAACTGCATCACTCAAGTCAGGCCAGGATTATGCATAAGCATACCCATTCATAAATGTAGATACCCAGTATGTTTAAATAACAATTGGTTCAAGCCAAGGATTCATGATGCATATAAGCAGTGATCTCATTAGACAGCAAGAACAGAGGACAATGCAGTGTTTTGTATGACTGTTAGCACAAAATGCCCAAGAATGATGTAAGAGCTAAACAGAAGCTCCTGAAAATCTTGAAGCAAGGTGGTGATGACAACTGACCTTTCCTATTGTCCTCTTGGCTCCTAGCGTGTGCCATTAAGACACATGCCTTATACTATCACAAACGGAGGCAATAAAAATGACAAATGAAAGAGGAAAAAGGTGGGGAAGAGACAGAAAAGTAGCAATTTTGTTTTATCACCAGCAATTAAGCACTATCTTGAGAGCACTTTATTATGGTCATGACTGAGACACCCCAGGGCTAAATAGACAAGCATGTCTATTAGCTACTGAGACACCCCAGGGCTAAATAGACAAGCATGTTTCAGGTTGTAAATTATTTTTATAGGCTTTAGGTAAGAAGTCTTTGCCTTTCTGCAATCCTGAATCATTAACTATTCACAGATTACCACACCTCTACATTAGTTGAACAGAATTTGTAGTGGTTTATGCAGGACAGGTTAAATTTTCAGATCCACTGCCTGAACCTTCAGAACAGAAGCCTAGAAACTTCATAGACAGTCAGGATTGTCTGTAGACTTCATTTAGCTACTAGTACCACACCGTGAAAGATGGGAACGTATTTTCACTGGGAGCTAATTTGAAGAGTTGTTTTACAAACTGGCACAATAAAAAGTGCCTATTTTGAAAGGATGGAAAGTTGAGAAAAGGCTCATTTACTAAAGTAAAGCACAGATAGTCCTTGACTTACAATTGAGCCCAAACTTTGTTGTTAAATAAGACATTTGTTAAATGAGTATTGCCCGATTTTATGAATCTTTCTTGCCACAGTTAAGTGAATTCCTGAAGTTAAGCTAGTAACAAGGTTGTTTAGTGAATCTATTGATTTTGCTTCTCAGGAAGTCACACAGGAGATCATATGATCCCAGGACACTGCAACTATTATAAATATGAACCAGTTGCCAAGCATCTGAATTTTGCTCATATGACCATGGGGATGCTGCAACTGTTGTGTGAAAAGCAGTCAGGCACTTTTTTCAGTGCTGTTGTAACTCCGAACAGTCATTTAATAAACTGTTAGTCAAGGACTACCTCTACATTAGAAAATTTTATTAGCCTATTAACAATTCTCAAAATGTAAGCAGCAGGAGACTGGGAAATGTTAGGATGGACAGATAGAACTCTTTAGATTTTCTTATAACCTTTCTTTGTATATACAGGTACTGAATATATATTTGTATGGTGTACTGACTTTTTTTGAATTTGGGAGCTCAAGGAAGGCTATGATGGGTTTACATAGTTTTGCGTAAAATCTCTCATCAGCTTCTCTCCAATTTTAGTACAACAAATGCAATCCAGTGTATCAATTGTAGCATAGACCCAGACCAGGTTAAGTTTACAGCACAGCTACACAGAACAAATAGGAAGTATCACTAATTGATAGGGAAATGCAATTTTCTAGAGGCAGTTTGTGAAAGGGATTTTATCAGCAAAGCAGAATTTATTATGGTGGAAAGTTGGCATCTTTGTTAGATCCTATATCATAGAACAGTCATAAAATCAATTCTGTTCTAACAACTACACTCAGATGTCCAGGTATGCAGTCAGTGTATTATGTATCAGTTGTTGCAACTGTACTTCTATTAATGGGACAAATGTGTCCAACTAGTATGCCAAAATCAATATTGTCAAAATGTTGTTCCCATCACCTCTTTAGCACTCACCTTCAGTTCCTTCCTATATACAGACCATCTCCCGTTTCTCAGGGTGGCACAGAACTTCACTGTGACCACTGTCCAAGCCAATACACATCACTTTCCCCTGCCCTGTCCACCCCTGCACCAACCAGGGAAGGAAGCAGAAAATGAAAGGCAAATTGAATGTGCTAACATTCCCCTTTAATAACCCGACACATTAAAATTACAGTGGCTTTATGTTGGCCAGGGACTTGCAGGAGTCACTGGAGAGGCAGAGTAGAGTTCATTGTTGGGCAGGCCCTGGTAAACAATAGGATCAGCAGTGTCCCTGTTACTTTTATTACTACTACTATTAGCATTGGTGGGTTTGATGGTGATGGTAATGGCTTTATTAGCTTTTCCTTAAAAACAGACATCCAAATGAGTTGATCCTAGAAGAAATATCCCAGGTCTAGCCCAGCCCCTCCCCCTTGAGAGCCACAATGCCTGGGGTGGAGTGAAGACAGCTGAGCACCCTGCTCTAGCCTTCCACCAGTCCTCAAGAGCCTCCCCCATTTAATAAATAGTTATGGTCAGAAGCTGTGGTGCCCAGCAGGAGAGGAAAGGAGAGGCAACTGGCCCGCAGATCTCGCAGCTGAATAACACTGCACTGCAGGAAGGAATGCCAGAGCACATAGGGAGCCTTCTGTTCTTAGCAGCAAAACCACAGTTTCCAGAAAGACAGATGGGGTTCCACACAGTCAGGAATAGGTGGCTACCCCAACACAAGGAGTGAGACAAAGAAGCAGCAGTAACCTCAGCCCTCACCTCACAGCAGCAGAGAGAGAGCAGTGAGGGAGGTACCAGGATCTGGTGAGACAGTGGTTGCTGAAGCTCCAGGATGGCAAGGGCAGTAGGTGAGCAGATGGAGGGGGAAAGGAAAGGAGAAAAAGAAGATGGAGGGGGTCGCCTGCCATTTCTGACTCCTGTGCCCCCTTGAAGGCAGCGGTGTTGGCTGAGTCCCTTAGAAGAGCTAGAAGGGAGATGAGGGGAGGGGGAGGGGGAGCAAGTTTGTGCCCGGAGCCAGTCAGTTCTATTTGAGGCAGCGCTCAAAGTAGGTGGAACCAATGTAGCCACCCCGCATCGAGCGCTGGACATTCTGCTCAAACAGGCGTCTGTTGTTCTGGAGTACTTCAGCAGCCTCTTTGTTCAAGGGGTCTTCGGGGTTTGGCTCCTAGAGAGGGAAGAGAACACCATTAAATGCCACAGCTTTGTAGCAGTTTAAAGATTTTCATGTACAAGGAATCCATTTTAATCAGGCTGCAAGAATAAGCAACATCTTACTATCTCTTAAAAAGTCACTCTTTACTCAGTATGATTTTGCCCTGTATTTGCCAACTAGCATAAACAGCACTCCAAAAGAACAGACTCTTCCTAAATTATTGGGCTATAAAACTGAGGGCAGGAGAATTGTACATTGAGAATTGCAAGATTTATGTCAGCCTTACCAGGTAAACCAGACAGGAAGTACCATCAGATAAGCTAATTCTACTTTATTATAAAACTACATTAAAATAATACAAGTTTCAAAAGTATAATTTTCTTGCTGTCACTTTTACAGCCTGATAATTTAGGGACGATCCCTCCCAAGCCTCTTGTTCCACCTTCTATAGCAGTGGTTCTCAACCTGTGGGTCGGGACCCCATTTGGGGTCAATCGACCATTTCACGGGGGTCGCCAAGCAAGGCTGTCCGCCATTTTTCCCCCCCTTTTCTGGCGGGTGCCTTACCTCCCTTGGGCTGGGCCAGCTGGTGGTCGGCCTGCTCCGTCTCTGCCGCTTGCCAACTACGCCTCGGCCGGCGCAGGGGGCGGAACCACGCATGTGCGGCGCTCCCGGGCAGGGAAAGTCCTCGACTTACGACCAGTTGGGTAGTCCTCGACTTACGACCGGTTTAGTCCTCAACTTACGACTGGTTTAGTCCTCGACTTACGACCGGTTGGGGTCGTGGCATTAAAAAGGTTGAGAACCACTGTTCTATAGGCAGCTGTGTCTTATGCTTTCTCATTTCTGGTCATTTCCTAAGTAGCTTCACCTGAGCTCCCAAGGTCATTCTCCTATATCATTATACCAATCAACTCCAAACTGTAAGATGAACCAGATTCCCAATATATGGAAGTTACTATTTGTTATGAAATGGAACTGCTTTTTGGAAAATGATCTCTTTTTGCCAATAGGCTAGAAAGTTAAAAGCCTAGAGGAATTTTTGTACTACTTCATATAATTTGTGCAAGTCAGATTGTCAAAAATTCTATTTAATACATTTAAAAATACATGTGGATTTTTTTTTTTAAAAAAAAACTACATTACATGCCATTTTATAACCTGATTTTAATTGTACTTCAATGCTCTATAAATATCAAAAATATTAATACCCAATTCATCCATCTTCTTTAAAATGATTAAAACTTATTTTTGTAGATGAAAAAGGACATTATTATTAATACAATAGGTCATTAAGCATTCTTTATACAATAGGTTACAGGGTGCCCTTTTTATATAAGCTATAAATATTTAGGCCAAAGGAATTTAAATCTAAATCTGTTCTAAACATTCCAGTTTTTATTTCTCAAATTGAAATGACAAAACTAGAAAAACATTAATTATATTTGATGTAGCAATTTAAATTGAACCTAAGCGAAATATTCATATTTTCCCTCTATCCTACTAATGTTTTGGAGTATAGCCCCACCATACCACTGATGTAACATTCACCATACCACTTCAAGGCTATCACACAATCACATGGATATTTACTTCTTCATTTCATAATGTGTTCAATAAATAAAATTTTCAGTAAGTGGAACATTCTGAATTGTCAAATTTATGATGCCATCTTAAAAATACAGCATGCCAAATATTTTTTAATTTCCAATTTATTCCATAAAAATAAATGGATTGATGTCATATTCACCAAACATAGTTAACATGCCAAGACACTATACTGCAAAACAGGAGGGACAAGACAAAAGTGTTTTGAGATCATACTCTTGGATATTATAGAAAAGTTCCATCTGGTTGGAAACAAATGCTTTAATTATGAGTAGTCAGAGTTCTTCAGGAAAAACAATATTAGAAAGCTAAAAATTTGATTTAAAACACTCTACTTAAATGCAAATGTTTTCATATTAGCCACACCCTATAGTCTTCCAACCATTTTATTTTTCAGATATTATCAAGTACATTCTTGTGTACAGGGAAATTCCCATTCCAACTGCTAGACAGTATATCAGCTACATCTTCCCAAAATGTAATGATACAAATTGCTTTCATTCACAATCCATCTAACTTAGAAAACTACAAATTCCCAAGGAGCACACTGCCTTTGCTTACTGTATCATTTGTCCCTCAATCTTTCAATCTTCCTGCCCAGACTGAGCAGGAAGATAGTGCTCTAGCCTTAATGCCACTGTTTCAGACCTCCTCTCCACATATACTTACCAAGAAGAGATACTGCAGGCCATAAATTATAGAGTTTATTGTTAGTACAGGCTTCCAGTCCTCTCTGTGGGCCAGAAAAATAATGAAAAAAAATGAACACAGACTGAGGAAAGTTTACCCAAAAATAACAAAATATTTATTTAAATTCACATTGTTAAAATAAAATTTTATGAGGATTGATCCAAATTGAAATATGTTTAATATTCCAAATCCTTTAAAAATGAAGTCAACAGTTCTTAGACCTTTAAAACATAAGACACTTTTAATTACATTTTCATGTAATTAAATACTGACAATATCCCAAGAGTAAAATTTTTGACAGGCTTCTTTCAGGTTTTTATTTCTCCTCACCCTTTTAATTATGATGGCATAAGAGGATTTAAAAAAAAACAGAAATATGTTCAACATTCCAAATACTTTAAAAAAAAAAAACCCCAGCAGTGCTCAGAAATACACCCACTAGGATGGAAGATTGCCTTCACTAATCCATGCTGGCTGCAGCTGAGCACAGTGCCAGTTCAATATATCCTGAGGGCATCGGGTTTGGCATGATTGTTGCAAGCTCTCTTCCACACCTAGTGTAGCTAGATTCATAAACACAAAAATTGTAATTGAATGTGAAGTTTTGCCTGAACACAACCAACATAGCTTAGCACAGAAGTCAGAATAACAGAGTTGGAAGTCTTCTAGTCCAACCCCCTGCTCAGGCAGGAAACCCTCTACCATTTCAAATTGTTGTCCAATCTCTTCTTTAAAATTTCCAATGTTGGAGCATTCACAACTTCTGGAGGCAAGTTATTCCACTGATTGTTTTGTCAGGAAATTTCTCCTTAGTTCTGGGTTGCTTGTCTCTTTGATTAGTTTCCATCCATTGTTCTTGTCCTGCCTTCAGGTGCTTGGGAGTCAGCTTGGCTCTCTTTTCTTTGTGGCAACCCCTGAGATACTGAAACACTGCTATCATGTTGCTTTTAGGCCTTCTTTTCATTAAACTAGATATGCCCAATTCCAGTTATTTATATGTTTTAGCCTCCAGTCCCCTAATCATCTCTGTCGCTCTTCTCTGCACGCTTTCTAGAGCAGGGGTGTCAAACTGCCGGCCCACGGGCTGGATGTATCATGCTGAAACCGTGCCCACCCCATTGCCAGCAATGGAAAAAAAGTCGAGGTACGTCGCAACACATGTGACATTGCGAGTTTGACACCCTTTCTAGAATCTCAACATCTTTTTTACATCGTGGTGACCAAAACTGAATGCAGTATTCCAAGTGTGGTCTTACCAAAGCATTATAAAGTGGTATTAATACTTCATGTGATCAGCAGTCAATAACTGTTGAAATCTGGAGATCACACCTAACATTTTGTGTGAAAACCAAGGGCCACAATGGATTGGCAGTGATTCAAAGTGAGAGCTGCTAATTCTGTTTTTAATTTGGAGGGATTGTTAGTTGATTAAATTGTGATAAACTGTAGAACTTGCAGTAAATTTTGTGTGTTTGCTTTAAGATAGTGAAAAAAAATGTGCCCCCAATGTTCAGCAGTAATGGGCAGAGGCAACTCTGGGGGCGACAGAGTTCCCAGGCAAAGGTTTGCCTGCCCCTTTTTCCTATGATCTGTGAATCATCCTTTATTCAGTATATAGTTGAGCAGTCAGTGAGTATTTGTTGCCTCAAAAAGCATTGTGCTCAGTTCAAAAAAAACAAAACATTTTATAAGTTGTCTGATATTTCCCCAACATTTGTTCTTAAAACTTCCTCTAATCCTGCAAACAAGAAAATAATACATAGGAATGAAAAGAGAATATATAAAAACAGCAGAACATGTTTTGTACCTGAGAATATTTAGGCAAACATTGCCTTCTAAATCTATATTTGGGTGATACACCATAGTCTCACACTTGACTTTGGGGGGATCATGCGGGTAACCTTGCCCGACCTGCAAGCAAAACACAAAAGAAAAAGACATTCTGTCAGTTTTTTCATGTTAGGTATTGTCCATTCAAGATTGCTGCCAAAAATTTGGGCCATGTACACAGCGTTCTATGACTTTCCCATTCTTCACTAATTTTCTGCCAGTAGATTGGGTTTTGCCATATTTGAATGGTACAGAAGGTAAATTATATTTTGAGTTATGCAATGCTCAAACTAGAATGGAGAAACCAGAGAGGAATCCTGGCTTCTCTGACAATATATACAATGCAATGTGTCCAGATAATTGATATCCACTATTCAATCAAGATTTCAGTGTGAAGCATTTGTTTATATGGCTGTTTTAATTACACAGTTTTATTTTAAGAACTTGATTGTAGAGCAATACGAAAACAGTTGCTACAATTAAGTTGCTGGAATTATGAGCTCCAAAACTTTATGAGTATAAACATTGACAAAGATCCAAATAATAACCAGAGTAAAATAATGAACCATACATACTACTTTGAAAATTTGCAAGGATGCAATAAAAATGCAATTGTTTCAAAGACAGTAGCATTTTTTCATGAACAGGCAGGGATCTTAAAAACTTTCACTGAATTGAAAGTACTGGGTATTTTTGAAAACTTTCCAAGTTACTTCCCGTAAGAGTCCTTCCCTCTAATCACTTTATTTAGAACTGTTTTAATATTAATAGAGTTTTGCTTTCCTGAGGGAATAGATCTTTACAATTTCATTTTTGTCACCTCTGGAAGGAAAGACTGATTCTCCCTGGAATTCTCAGCAGAAATGTGAACATTAGACCCTTTCTTTTCTCTTCTGACAAACAGCCATAAAATTTCCTAATTTCTAGTGATAGTTCTGACTCACTGAACAGATTTTTTAGTAAAGTTAAAAATTGCCAAAGACAGAAATGGCAGACATTGCTACAGCATGAAGTTTCCTACTTTCTCAATCTCCAACTAAAGACACAGGCTTTCTCAAACCTACACACTCAGTTTTCTGTATTAGCATTATTTTAATCCAATTGTTGTAAGATTTTCATAGACTTACTTTTGACACAAAGGGAAGTATACATAGTTTACACTAAGCATTTTTATGAGAAAGACTGGCAAAAGTTCCTCTAATATATAAAAGCAATTCAAATCCAAGCAATTTTTGGCTATCCTGTGCTTTAAGCAATCTACGTATCCAGATATCTATTAATATTCATTACTGTATTTTCTTTAAATGAAAACTGAAGCTATTGGGATGTCAATATACACCTATGAAGTATATACTGAACATATACACAACCAAATTATTGGAAGACTATGGGATAGCTGGCTAGCAAGCCAGCCTATATTTCAGACATTTAATACATCATGGAAGCAATTTCTTCAGGTATTATTTTAAGAAACAAAAATTATAATAATGGATCTGATTTCTAATCTCATGATTTGTGCAGAAATCACATAGAAGGTTGTCATTGACTACTACATGTGCCCAACAGGCCATTTTGGGGACACAATATTTTAAGTATAGCAAATGACTATCAAATAATCCATGAGTCATTAGTATGGTATATTCAAACACAATGTCCACTTTTTCAAATGTAATTAACTTACAATTAATTTCTGAAATACAGATCACTTCAACTTTCTGAAAATCCATACACAGAAGCTGATCCAATGTATCTTAGACAGTAGCCATTAACAATTGCTTTCTTCAGCAATAATTCAAGACTATTTCTTATTAGTACTCTTTTCAAAATGTTTCATTCTCAGCAACTGATTTTTTTAATTAACACCCTTTAACAGGCAAAATATATAGAGCAAACTTTGTTAACTTCCCCTCATCATCTTTATTATAGTTCCAAGCATACTTGGGATTCTACATAATTGCTCATTAAGTAATCAATCAACTGATTTGAGTCCCAAAAATGTAAGAGATTTTCCTCACTTCAGAAGCTAAACCCAGCTCAGCTCTAAGTAGAAAACAATGAAGCACCCAAACACATTTGATTTATGGCAACCTATAATTCACAACCTCTGCCCTGAATTAAATTGTTCTTATGCTGATACCATTCATCCATATGTTGCTACCCAAATTACACAAGGATGGCTGAAATCCAATGAACGGTATTATCCCTGTTATTTTGTGCATCAAAAAAGTTACATATACAGTATTTGACCTATTAGATGTCTTAGATAGCAAGCAGAGACAGATTGCTTACCTTAAAGCTGAACACAAATTTCCCACCTTTATAAAATCCCTGTAAGGCAAACATTGGACAATTTAAGCAAGTATGGCTCCAAATAGAAGGAAACAACTGTCATACATTTCAGATATGGGAAAATGGGAGGCGGACAGCACTAAAGTTACAATAAAGCAGTTCACTTTCCAATCCAACACAAACCATCAGCTTCCCTAGATTCATATCTCTTTACTTCACACTCCCAAATCCTGGAAATACAATCAGCCACCCAATCTAGAATAGGCCAAAAATACACGGAAAATGGGGAATTCTTAGTTGCTTAGCTTTACGTGTATTTCTGCAAGTAAAGAAGTAAAAAAGGTAGCAGACAGAACATTGTACTGGAAAGAGGACAGAGTCTTTATTTGCTAATATTCTGACTTCTGAATGGGATTGTGCTTCAATATTCTGGATCAGAGAGCAAGGAAAGCTGTCACACAGATTCATCTTGTGTATTTTTATATGTGTGCTTTAAGGTTATCCCATCAGATTGACTAAAAATAGAATGTGTTAAAGTTCTCCTTATTGTCTTCTCATCCAACATTCTCTCCGCTTTAGAAAAGTTATTTTGTGAAAACATTTTGCCTACCTTCAGAGTTAGCCTATGTACAAAATGGACCACATTGCATTCAAAATGTGAACAATTTTAAGCAATAATGGACTTAAAGCACAAAAGTAAAAATATAACAGACATGTTCTGGTATGAATGTCAATATCACACGATACATTGGTCTACTGAATCATCCCACTCATGAAGTTTCCCAACCAAAGTAACTAGTAACCAATCATTACTTAAGACCAGCTTCTGAACTGATAAAACATTCATGTGGTATGGCCAAAGCCATTTACAGCAAAAACCATGATTTGAATAGAGTTTACAAAAGCCTCAAAGGGATCTCATTGTTGGAAGGTTTTTGAGATGTAAAAATATCAGACCAAGATAAAGCTCATCTTGGTCTAATTGTTTACATCTCAGAAACCTGGCATTTTAACATGTGTGTGTAGGCTTTTTATATCCATAATATATATATATATTGCCTTCTGCACAGATAAATTCAAAAATAGGCAATTTTGGGAAATCTTTTACTATAATTACCCTAAAAACAAAAAAGCAAACAATGATGCAGTGAGAAGTTAAGAAGGTTATTGTATAAGAAGTAAAAAAAAATATGGCAAGATGTAATGAACAATATTAAAAGGGAATATCCCAGACAGTATCATCTTCACGATTTCAAATATAAGAGCCCTAATGATTAAAATTATTTTCAATAAGTAGTTTTTCTCCAAACCATTCTATCAATCATCCCTTATACAGAGAAAAACATACAAGGGAAGATGGGAGAAAGTCACACAGCACAGGGCACAGCCTATTAACTCACTAATAACGGGGCTCCAGGGTTTAAATAGCACAATATGCAGTAACATTTTAAAGGTTCTTCCTATACCCACATCACTCACCTCATCAGGGCAGATAACTAGTTTAAAATTGAGAAGATCATCCTGGTCTAAAAAGTCTATTTCACATGTTTTCGGCAAATTCAGTTCATTTATATCTGTCAGAAAAAGCAGAAGAAATTGCCAGTTTAGAAAAGACAGCGGATTAGAGAGACTTCTGACTAAATCAGTAGAAAAGCTTCTATTCCCAAACTAAAATATATAATTGCTCTTTATGTTGATCATTAGTTAAAAACTGATACACTTCTCTGAAAACTTTTAGAAAAGGGGGGAAAAAGTCAGTTTCCCCAACTACAAAACATAAGGTAAATTTGGTCCAATCTCATGACAGTCTAATCTTCCTAAAATGGATCAAGGATAGCTTTTTGGAAATTTATATGCACTGTATATCTTACAAAATGAAAAAAAATGTGCTTTTGCATGAGTACTGACAACTATTAAGGAACAATCAAGTTACTATAATGTAATGAAGACAGTAAGTTATAGGCATGGATTAATTTGAAAAAGAAAATGATTTTAAACAAAATATTTGAAATGATAAAACACAGCATGTGCCCAAGATAGATTAATTAAAAAATTGAGTTGTTCAATAACCAAAACGTTGTAGAGGAAGGACAAGGAAACAAAATAATCAGCAATATGCAGTTTGAGAAAGTATTCAGGTATCTACAAATTACTTTAGGTCATTATAGTGTGTTTATAACTTATTCTGTGAAGAAAATCAGACCACCCTGGTTTTGTGAGCCTGAAAAGCCAGACTCCTAAAATCCAAGAGAGTTCTGGTAGCAAAAGGAATCAGGACCTGTTCAATGATTTCCCATGAACTCATCAAGCTGTCACTAGCAGGAAGGGCTTTCCAACCACTTACCAAAGTTTGGCTAACCTTAAAGGGCTGCTGAGGATCACTAGATAAAAGTATTAAGAAAAGCCGAAAGGCACGAAAATGAAAAAAACGTGATGTTCATCAACGGGAACAAGCAAGCCCCCGGTAGGCAAAGTTTTAATCCTGTCGTCCCGCGTTCACCGATGCAGGTACCCACAATAATACTATCTTATATTTGCGGCACGGGAGGAGAAACAGGAGCAGACCAGCCCTCACCGGCCTGGCTTTCTTTCTTTCCCCCTAGAAATAAATGCAGCTGTCCCTCTGTTCCCCGATCTCCCCCCACCCTAACCTTTCTGGATGCGGAGTTGCGCGGCAGAAGCTTTCTTGCTGGAGCCTTTGGTGCCGCCAGCCGATTCCTCCTCCTTCTTCTGCTGTTTCAGCGAGAATAGCTTGATCATCTTGGCCGGCTTCTGGTGGCTCGGCGAACTGTTCTTTCGCCCTTCTGACCCTGGCCTCGATCTGTCCCACTGGCTACCGCAGCCAGGCCCAGCCCAATAGTGCGCGGCTCTTAAGAAAAGAGAAGGAGGGAAAGGTAGGGGGACGGCGATTCTCGCGGCCTGGCCTGGCCTGGCCTGACCTGGCCTGGCCGGCCGAGAGAGACGGGACGGGGAAGGGCGGGGAAGCCGGGCGAGGGGGGAAAGGAAGGGAGATGGGGAGGCGATCGAGCCAGGGAAAGGGCCAAGCAACCAGGGCAGGCCCGCCTCAGAACGCCGCCGCTGCGATCGCCGGTGTTGCTTTTCCTATTGCGGGATCCGTGTGTAAGTCGGACGGCAACGGATAGCCCTCTTCGGCCCTTCCCGGAAGAACGTCGGCAACTTCCGTCGTATACTCACAAGGTCCGCCCACTTGCCGATTCTCCGAAAGGACTCAGTTGCATTCGCTGGAGGCGAGTGGCGCTTTTTCAAGCTGTCGGCCTTTCCAGCTGAGGGCTCAGCCTTCTTTGATTTTATTTATTTATTAAAATTGCCCGGGTGATTTTCCGATTCGGCTTTCTGTTTTCTATTTCCTCGGGCTTCCGGCTGAGGAATCTGAGGCAGTGATTTCCGCCCGGCATTCGGCTCTCGACTTAGAATTCTGGGACTCCCAAGAGTCACAGCGTCATAGCGCTTTTCTAAGATGTCCGGTTCCCAATTGATTATGGCAATATGCGGGGCAAGCGTTGCGGAGAGGGGAAAAAAAGCAGGAAGTATCAAAGTTTTATTTTAGTATAGTTGCTTAAAATCTCGTCTCAGTAAATGTCCTATGAATGCTGAAAGAAAAGCAAATATGTTTCTCTCAGCCCTCTTTTGCGCAGGGCGATTGACCCTGCATAACAAAGTCATCCACGTGCATAACGGAAATGAGAGTTGCGAGGAAATCTATTGTTTTTTCTCTTTACGTTTCACTGTGCTCGTGCCGCGGTTATCGAGAAATGTTTCTGCTTCAATTAGCCAAGCATTTGTGCCCAGCTGGCACAGCAAAAAGTTTCCATAGAAATCTGCATATAGATTCCGCTTTCCTGCAAATTAGCTTTCCAATTGTTTCATATTTAACAATGGGGGGGGGGGGTCGTTGTTATACGGACACCCATGAGCCTACCCTAGTCCTTGCATTTTATCAAATATATTTAAATATTTTCAAGATTTCTTCTGCTTTCTTACACATTCTGTAGTTTTAATAAGACTCCCACTATTAGTGTAAACATTTGGAACTATTTTATTATATAAGCTAATCCTCAACCTAGGACCCCAAATTTGTTGCTAAGTGAGACATTTGTTAAGAGAATTTTGCCACATTTTACGACTTTTCTTACCATAGTTAAGTGACTCACTTAAGCAATTGTTAAGTTAGTAACACAGTAACGTTAAGTGAACCTGGTTTCCCCATTGACTTTGCTTATCAGAAAATTGCAATAGCTAATCACATGATCCCAGGACACTGCAACCATCATAAATATGAACTAGTTGCCAAGATGGGGATGCTGCAACAGTCATAAGTCACTTTTTTCAGTGTCATTGTAACTTTGAACGGTCACTAAATAAACTGTTGTAAGCCAAGGACTATTTTCTGTGGTTGCATATTGCTCAGCTTGAATGGAGAATAAACTTTTGAAGAAAACTTCTGCAGAAAATTAGTTTTTAGGTGCTTCAAATGCTATTGCTCTAAGTCAATGATGGCGAACCTTTTAGAGACTGAGTGCCCAAACTTCAACCCAAAACCCACTTATGTATTGCCAGGTGCCAGGTAGGTGTGGCTATAGTAGTCATGGCAGCCAGGGTGGGCATGGCCAGCTCGTTGCTCCTGGGGAGGGATGCCTGTGGGGGCCAGGTAGGGTTGGGGGAGATCCAGGGGATCTCTGGCTGGTGGGGCAGTGAGCAGGAGGGCGTCTTGCTCAGCTGATGGCTTGGGGGGAAGGGAGCAGCTACATTCCCACCCAAATGCTGCCCTCTCATGAAAGCAGAATGAAAACTCCAAAAAGCGATAAGGAAAAAAAGTTAAAACAGAAGAGTGTCTCGCGATGGTTTTCTTCCCCACTTCCTTCTAGCTGCAGTTTAAATATGTAAAGACCACAAAAGAAAAAACTTGGCTTTCTCTTGTTTTAATTCAGAAGGCAGGAACAGGAGGATTGGGGGGGTTGTTTGTTTCAAAGAAAGGGAAAGAGAGGGGCTGGGGGAGCGTGGCAGGTGAACGGCGATGGCCCAAGGCTTCTGGCTATGCAGGGGGTCGTTGGCGGCACGTTCTCTTTAAAAGAGCAAAACGAGGCAAAAAATAAAAATGCCCCACTCACTCCACCTCCCAAAAACACAATAACAGAGCTTTCAATGATACAAACAGTCTTTGGAGGCCATCTGGGTGGGCTCACTGCCCCTCTGACTCCCCCCCAAGACACTTGCCAGAACCTCTTAATCGCAGAACGCTGGGCAGGGGGGTCTCCCCTCTTGAGACAGGGGTGCCAGTTCAGCAGCACCAAGGCGGATTGGCATGGTCTGTCTCACCCTCATGTCACTGTGTTTGTGTGAGCCCCACAGCTCTTCCGAAAGGGGAAGGAGGAGAGTGGGGAGGGGCTGTGCTGGGATCGGGGCTCCTCGTGCCTTCCGTTGCCCACCTGCGCTCTTCTGCTTCAGATGCGGCTCCACTTGCTTGGCAGGGCAGGGGCGCGCTTGCGCATGGGGACACACGGGCTGCTGCCTTGCTTGCCATGCCGGGACTGGGCTGGACTGAGCTGGGAGCCTCCTCGCCACTTCTTCCCCCGCGGACATCAGGAGTGCCCACTCCACCTACTGCTCGTCCCGGGGCAGCTGCTGCCGTCTGGTGCTCTCCAGCCCATTGCCAGCCAGCTGGGCATGCTGAGCTCGGGCCTTGGGCAGATGGAAGCTGGAGGGGAGAGCCACGGCTGCCCGGCTCCTCCGCCTGAGGATGCATGCGGGGAGAGGCACCGTCCAGGTCGGTAAGCCGCAGACCGCCTGCAGGAGGATGGAGGGCTGGCCAGGGACAGGTGCAGCGCTGCCCGGGGGGGAATCTGACCAGCCCCCGCCTGGGGGGGAGAGGCCGAGAGAGCCCGAAGGGAGGCAGGCCTGGTGCTCGGTGGTAGCCGCTCTCGCCCCTCCCCGCCCCCGTGCTACCACAAAAGGGCTGGCTGGCTTCGGCATCATCTGGTCAGGCCTGGCCGCACATCTGCCCAGTGGCACTGGCGGGCCCGGCCTTCCTTCCTTCCCCCTCCCCTCCTTCCTCTCTCTCTCTCTCCCTTTCTCCAAATTCCAAAGCTACGTGTCCTCCTTCCCCTGCTAGCCTTCTGCAAAGCGCAAATGGATGCCACGTCCTATTTGTCTCCAAACTCATGCCCACCATTGCTTCCAAAGGCCGTCTGCTCACTCACTCACTCTCATTGCACTCCCGCCAAAGTCTGCTCCTTTTATAGATTCCCCTCTCCCCAAGTGTCGTGATTCCATGCCAGCCTGTGTTCCCAACAGCTGAGTCCGGTGAATCAGAGGAGGAGGCGGCATTTGGAGAGCCATCAGAGTCGGGAGGCTCACAATCTGATGAAGAGCTTGCCCCCCCCCCCCCGATGAAACTCAGCTGTATGGGGAGGATGAGTCAGACTTGGAGGATTCACAGCTGGTAGACATTATTGATGCTTATAGACACAGGCAATTATCTAGAGCAGGTCAGCAGCAGTCAATAGGACAACTGGGGGGGGGGGGAGAGAGAAGGCATTGAGAAGCCACAGCTTGGGACTGCTTTATAAAAAGGGAAGGTGTGGGCGGTGCTGGTTGCTGAAGGCAACCATTTGTAAAGAACTTCCAGGGATCATGGTCTGTTTGTTTTACTTGTGAATTTCTTGTTTAACTCCTGTTCTGTTTGCTTTTATAACCAATTATCTGTTAGGAAAGTATTCTGTGTTTTTGTTTTGGAGAAATCTTATCAGGACTGTTTTGGAAATAAAAAGAGGTTGGTTTTTCCAGCCTACTGTTAAAGAGGGGTTTGTTCTTGTGACGCAACAAGGACGGACATAGGCTGGGACAGAACACCACCCAGTTCTCGCAGCTATTCCTGGGAGAGCGCTGCTGGATTTGGTTTCCTTGCTCTCTCCAGTTCCCGCTAGTCAGACGCACATGGAGAGGAGGAGGGGAGCGTTCCTCTGGCATGTGTGCCAACAGGGCTCTGTGTGCTCAGTCTGGCACGCGTGCTATAGGTTCGCCACCATGGCTCTAAGTTTTCTCTTTTGTCTAAGTTCATTTGGGGCCCCAGCTAGATGGCAGTATATAGTCCAGTGGTGGCAAACCTATGGCACGCGTGACAGAGGTGGCACTCAGAGCCTTCTTCATTGGCATACGCACCACCGCCGACAGCAGCAGGTTCATCAGGCCGCCACCGCTGCCGGGAGCAGGAGCCCCATTTAGCACAAAGGAGGTGAAGCGGCCGACTAGCAAGTTTGAGTAGAGGTGGTAGAGCAGAGGTCACCAACCATTGTCGATTGGTGGACTGGAAGGGAGGAAGCCTTTTGCATGCGTGCATGCACGCACAGAGCCGTGAGCATGCACACGCTGCAAATGGGGCAGAGCTAGTGCCTGCATGATGCTCACTAGCCCTGCCCTGTTCTTGCGTGGTGCAGCGCCTTGTATCTGCACCCGGCAGCGTGGCAGCGGCCATTTTTGCACCTTGCAGCACGGTGGCTCATTTTTGCACCCGATTTTTGCATGCCAGAGGCAGCACTCAGAGGCGCCTCCCTGCCCCCCCCAGGGCACCACAATGCTGATGCAGCCCTGGCACTTTGCAATAAATAAGTGGGTTTTGGGTTGCGGTTTGGGCACTCGGTCTCTAAAACGTTCGCCATCACTGATATAGTCCATCTTAATGGCTCTTGGCGCTAATGAAGTACAATTGATTAGTATTTCTGTGGGAAATTAAGTTCATCCCAGGATTGTAGGTTGGACTATGAAGTGACAAAACTATCACAGAAGGCAACAGAAATGAATTTTGTACCCTTGTCAAGGAAACTACAAGATAAACATCCTTGAAGCCACAGTAGACTTGACCAAGT